TTCCATTGTCAACGCATTGAGATGGGGTCGTGCCGTTAACGATAGTGTACGCAAATTTTTACAATTTCAACTCACAGTTAATATTACAGCAGTTATAATATCTTTCACTAGTGCAGTATTAAGTGATGATAATGAATCCATATTAACAGCTGTACAGCTACTTTGGGTTAATCTTATTATGGACACGTTGGCAGCACTTGCTTTGGCCACCGAGTCTCCGACCGACGAACTTTTATCTCGTTTACCTACTTTAAAGAGTGCGTCATTAATTAATTATCGTATGTGGAAAATGATTATTGGACAAGCAATTTTCCAAGTGGCCACTAGTTTGACCTTGTTGTATATTGGACCAAAGATTTTTCATCTTAACGTTGATGATCCTTATGAGGAAACCGTATTTCGTACCTTGATTTTCAATGCCTTTGTCTTTCTTCAAATCTTCAATGAGATCAATTGTCGACGTATTGATGATAATTTAAATGTTTTTGCCAACATTTTTCAAAATTATACATTCATAATTGTTCAGATTTTTATTATACTTGGACAATTTGTTATCGTTCAATATGGAGGTGTTGCCTTTGGAACAACAAAGCTCACTTGGTATTATTGGCTTGTGACTGTTTTAATTGGATCTCTTTCCTTACCCGTTGGTGTGATTATTAGACTTTTTCCTAATACTTGTGTACCAGATCATATTCTTAACGAATATTACAGACCAAAAGTCACTAAAGAGAAGATGTTATGGGAACAGGCAATTCATGATGTAAGATCTCAACTTAGAGTATTTGGTGCTATAAGGAAACACCCAAAATAAAAACGATCTGATCCAAATTCCGTCGGATTGTACATGACGCGACAAGTAAATAAAAAGAATTAATTAGTTTTACCTTTATTTATTACAAGATCTTGGTTTGAAATTATTGTGTTCTATTTCTTAAACGGTTAACTCGCAATTTATGATTTTATATTATTAAATTCAATATACATTTGTATATTTTTATATTAAATTATTTTGATAAAATTCGATGTTATTAATAAATCATAGAAATAAAAAAATTGTTTATAATAAAAAAATTGTTTATAACTGTTATATACTGTATGTGGCTATGATCATCATATAGATA